AGTAGGTGGCATTAACTTTTTTATCCTGCATAACTTTTAGCAGTTGGTTATATAAGCCAGTGTTGGGGAGAGTTACTTTTAAAAGTAATGCATTACAATTTTGCTCTACTCCATAAAAAGTAACTAATTGCGTTACTTAGTTGCTTTTTATGGTAAGTAATGCATTACGTTACTTTCACCTGGGCTGAGCTGGGTTTGCTTATTTGTTTTTTAATAACAAAAAACCCAAAAGTTATATTTTTGGCAACTGTAAGGGTATTTTCACACCAAAAATGAAACGAATAAGCCTCAGCCTGAAAGAAGTGCCTCTGCCTATGCACCTGTCACGGAATCGGGTGTGTGGAGGCAGGCAGGACGACGAGGACGACAAGGATTCCAATAATGACATTTATTGTAGACACAACAAGGCAGGTTCAGGTAGGTGAGACACACACTCGGGGTAACATTAACAATAACCGACACCAATGGTCAGACAGACAGGAACTAATATGGGGTGAATAATTAGAGGCAGACAGGTGAGCACAATGACGGTGATTAACTAATCATTAGACGGGCTAAACCAACACAAAGGGAAGAAACCACAACAAACAGTCCACAGGGGCGTTACAGCACCTCACTCCCAATTTCTTTTAACATCGGGACAGGAGAGCTTTCACTGAATAAATGGGAAAACAAAGTAACTCAGATATTTAATGTAGATTTAAAACTAATGCATTACTTTACTAGTTACTTGAAAAAAGTAATCTCATTATGTAACTGGCATTACTTGTAATTAGGGATGTCAGTTTAACGCGTCACTGCTGACAAATATGATGCAGGGCAACAACTCCTTAAATGCAGTTATGTCCTAAAATTCTAGATATTGGGGCAAAAATGCTCCTGTATGAGTTTTTGTCTCATATTTATATAATATGATAACACAGGAGTAGGGAGAGCTGTATCACACGAGTGTTGTTTTTGTCCCAAATATAATGAGTGCAAATGTGAATTTATACAACAGTTCAGTAAATAAGAAGTTGATATTGTGTTATATTTTAAACACAATATTATGTGTTTTTGCTCAATTTTGCAGAGAACATATTACCTTTAAAGCCATAGCAGAATTGTTGTGCGTCTCCGAGCAACAAAGCGGTGTTTAGTTTCTGAATGAATCTCCGTTTTGAATGAATCGTGTGAACCATTGATTCAACTGATTCAAATCATTGATTCAAAGGCCAATTCATAAAGCGAGCCATTTACTGAATTCCTGAATTAATCAGCCGTTTGAATGAATCAAGTTAAAGACTCATAAAGACATTTACCGCCACCTACTGTCAGTTTTAGTTTCTTATTTAGAGTATTATTTAATTTAAAAAAGGGGGGGAAAAGGGGAAAAAATTAAAGGCATAGTTCACCCCAAAAATTTGAATCATGTCATCATTTACCCAAACCTGAATGACTTTCTTTTGTAGAACATAAAAAAGGTATTTTGAAGACTGTTGGTAGCTGTTTTGGTTACCTATGACTTCCATTGCATGAATAAAAAAAAAAAAACAGATGTTTCTCAAATTATCTTCTTTTCCATAGTTTATATTGGTCCGTTGTAGCCTAAACGTTTAGGCCCTATATGTAATACATTTTTATGTTGAATCAAATAAAATATTTATTTCTAAAGCTACTATTTGTAATGTCTACTTAATACTTTCTCATTTAACACAAAAATAGCATTAAATAATCTTTTGGGGCTATTTTTATAGGCAAATGTAATTTGCGATTAATTCGATTAATTAATCGACACCTCATGTAATTAATTAGATTAAACATTTTAATCGACTGACAGCCCTACTTGTAATGCATTACACCCAACAATGGTGATGTGAGTTAGCATGTGGGATTGTGACCAATTTTAACCAATTAACTGGAAACATGTTAAGCGGTAAACATTAAAAATATGATCACTACAATTCAAAATTCAGTAATGGCAAAGCTGAACATTTCTTATAATTATTATCATTATTATAAGAATTTAATTCAGTATACATACATCAATATAAGCAGAGGATATCTTAATTGTAAATATTAAGAATTGTGAATTGTAAATTGATATTGTGTATACATTGGCTGATGTTAATAATAATCTCCGACTAATTTTTCTGGACAATACATATTTCTGCCACTACCACAAACTCAACTGAAATCACATTCAACAGGCTCGCTATAATGTAAAACCTTACATATAAATGTAATGAGAAATAATAAAGACAACATGGCTGCTTTTACCACATTTATTTAGTCTGACTAGATTATTTCACAATCCTAAAGACAACAGGTCAAATAGAGTGTCAAAGGGGAGTATTGTTTTTATTTTTCTTATTTTACTTGATTTATTATGAGTTGTTTGAATCATCTGTTTCTTTACAGCAGTTGGGTAAATTATGAATCTGACCGTGCTGTTGTTTATTCTGGAGGCGTTACTACCCACAACACCCAATAAATGAGAGTGTGTGTTTGTGTGTGCGTTTGCAGTACATTAAAAATGATGGGAAGCAGATCAATGAACAATTTAGATGCCACTCAAGCAGACCCAAGAGAAGAGAAGACAGAAACTATGAGCAACTGCAAAAAATAAATCACAAATTCAACAGGAACAGTACATATTAAGCCGCAGAGACACACATGAATACCAATACAGACACACACTCACGCACAAAACCATCAAAAAAAGAGTGTGTGATCATTTGGATTTACTGAAAATCAACTCTGTGTGTTTGTACGTTTGTGTATATGAGAAGAGAGAGATCTTGGTGTTTATTAGACATCCAGCACCTCCGCCCCACCCACATTTTTGATTGTCTTTCCTTTGACGATACACAAATCAATCTCTCTCTCTGCGTTTCCCGTCACTATCTCTTCCAGCATTCATCTTCCACCAATAACAGAGTCTTGGCTTAATACAGTGAAAACAAACCTCCTCCCACTACCCTCCATTACAATCAACTTCCATTTCTCTTCTCTTCTCACTCACTTCAGCCTGTCTGTCTTAAGGAGGAAGACAGCAAGAGGTAAATGAGAAAGACCTTCTTCCGTAGAATCCACTGGCTGCAAACCAGCTTAATTGAAAGCTGCAGCTAAGGTGCATTAAGTTTAATAAACCATATGCCAAAGCTCATATAAATAGCACACACACTTACTGTTCTCAGAGAGCTCAATGATGTAACGCAGGAGAGGACTGTTTCCATCAAAGGGCCGAACCCATGACAGAAGAACTGTTCTGCTGTCTGTCTCATTCAGAGCCACCTGCAGGTTACGTGGAGAATGGGGAAGTTCTCTGAAAGAGAGAGAGAGAGAAAGCCAAATTATGAATCAAAATATGCTTATGTGCATTTTGCAATGTGGTATATCCAAACACAATTCAAATTCAAATTTGAATTCAATTCAGGGAACAGTTTTCTATCACATCGAAATATAGACCTGATGAATCAGAGAATTTTGACTTTGAACTTCAGTTTTTGCAGTAGCTCTATAGCATCGCTGTTGAAGTAATTAGCTGGTGAATTGCATTTACTTATTGCAGAATTAGCGAAAGTTATCATGAGCATTGTAATGTTCGAAGCGGATGTCATAAATGGCATGGGACACTGGGAATTAAAAAAAAAAAATGAGCGGTTCATTTATAAATTTGCATGACCTTAACTTCATGCTGTGGAAATATAAACAGAAGACAGAAGATAATGAGCACAGTGCTGAAAAGGGGTGGAGCTACATAAGGTTTATATTTTAAGAAACCGTTTTCAAATTTCGACCTAAAAAATAGTTCACCCCAAAAATCATCAGGCCATCCAAGTTGGAGTTTGTTTTTTCATAGGATCATATTTGGAGAAATTTATGGAAATAAATGGATCGATCCTCTGCAGTGAATAGGTGCCGTCCTGATCAGAGTTCAAAAAGATGATAAAAACATTACAATAATCTACAAGACTCCGGTCCATCAATTATCATTTTGTGAAGTGAAAAGCTGTATGTTTGTAATAAACAAACCCATCAGTAAGAAGTATTTAACCTGTTTAAACTGTTGCTTCCAGCTAAAATACAATTCCTCTATCCATCATAACGGCACCCATTCACTGCAGAGTATCTTTTGGTGAGTAAGTGATATAATGCTAATTTCTCCAAAACTGTTTAGATGAAGAATCAAACTCATCTACATCTTGGATGGCACCTAAAATTGTCATCTTTAGATGAACTATTCCTTTAAATTTTGTTCCTTCTCATGTAAAATATTGAAAGTATTATTGTATTGTCTTTTTTGTATTTTTGTCTTGTTGTTTCCCCCCCCCCATTTGGCAAGTCAGTTTTGAGATATCATTCATGTCTGTTGCACATACGGTGTAGGATGAGTCAAGTTTATTAGGGTTATGAGTTCAAATCTCTCACCTAAACTATGAGCAATACTAATAGAGACGCTCAACTCAAATAGCATAAATAGCCCTTAGGCTTATATGTTCAAATACATGTAAGTCACTTTGTAGATGTGTGTCTTTGTTGCAGCGTGCACTTTCAAATCGGTGCTTCTGGGGTTCTGTGGAGGACAAATGGTGGGTAGATAGAAATATCACAAAAAAAAAAAAAACTTCTGCAAGCAAAAAGTGTTCTTCATGTCTGCAAGGGGTTTGTGGTGTCTCAATAAGATCTTGAGCAGCTTAGGTACAAGAAAGATTCTTTCACAAAAAGAAGTGTTATATTTTTTAGTTACTAGGTAGAATTTTTAACCTTTGTGCTTAAGTTTAAAAAATGTTAATGTGTCACAAAAACAATAAAAAAACCATGTTGGCTTAAAAAATAACTTAAAATATAAGACTTACTTGTGAATAATAAAGCATGAAATTAATAGTTCAAACAAAATCCAAATTTTTGCTTTCATTTACTCCCCTTAATGTTGTTGACTTTATATCATGCGTGGAACACAAAGGAAGATATTTTGAAAAATGTCAGAGCCGCAGTCTCATGACAATAAAAAGTGCAAAACTGATTACTTTATTGTGCGTTTATGGAGCTTTTTGGTCATTTTTGGAGCTTGAGAAGCAGCACATATGGTTAAAGTGCAGCATGAACATTTAACCTAGTACCTCCTTCTGTTTTTCCACAGACGAAAGTCATCTGGATTTTGAACAATATGAGGTTGAGTAAAATGACAGAAGTTTCATTTCTGTGTGAACCATCCCTTTAACTTTACTTTCTACTGTTCAAGATAAAAAGTTCCACTGTTTCTTCAACAGCATTACATTTATGAAAACTACATTACAATATCACGTAATACAATTATGTCCTTTGCAGATGCTTGTAATATGTGTGTGAGAATTTATGCCCATCTGTCACAACAGCCTAAATATGCAATAACAGCTAATATTGTTTTAAGCAAGGAACTGCTCTGCCGTTGTCTAACATGTGTTAATAAGAGGACCTGTCCACTGCATGAGATTAACTTGAAAGTCTGTGAAATCACATTAGCATGTGAAGCATTGCCTCTCCTTCAACCGTCTGATGAGTTTTCTTTCGAAAGAGTTTGCAGGCTGGAATATTAAAGGTAGGAGTATATTGTGGTGCTCTGTTATCTTAATGTGACTGTCAAAGGTATTATTGTTATTATTCAAATCGCATGTGTTTTCAATTTGTATCTCATAATTTAAATGTCAGCTGTTAGGAGTCTTTTTCTAGAGCCAGCCGAAACCCGGTTTTTCTCACAGAATAACGTGTCTTAAATTAACTATTGCTTTATTATGCATTCTGTTAAGTAGTACTAAAAGAACTGTGTGACAATGCAGTCCTGTAAGCTCATTTGCGAATCATACCGTTTATTACAGTTAGATTTTGTATGATTTATGATTTGTAATATTTTTACATTTTTCTCACAGTTGATCTGTGATGCGATTCCATAAGCTACACTCACAATTTTTTAGGCACATTTTTAAAATTTTTTTATAAGAATAATATTCAAGCTTGTACTGTAGGTTGATTTACACCAAAAACTAGCAACACAGCAGCATTTGGCTTAACCAATGACATGAGTTTGGGGCGGGGCTATCTGTTTGGCTGACCAATGGTGGATGGGGGAGTGTTTGGGAAACCCGATCCTTCAGAAATAATTTCTTGTTATTATTAATATTGAAAATAATAGTTGTGTCACTTAATATTTTGGGGGAAACAGTGATCCATTTTTTTCAGGTTTCGCTGATGAACAGAGTTCGAAAGAACAGCATTTATTTGAAAGAGAAATCTTTTGTAACATTATAAATGTCTTTACTGTGACTTCTAATCAATTTAATTCACTCTTCCTGAATAAAAGCGTAGTGTACATGTAATGCACATGCAATCATTACTTGGTTAAGAAAGACTTTTGACACAAAGGGCACATTTTTAGGCCTTTAGGTCGATCTGGTATGTTTACATCTTTCTGATTGTGAATAATATTTTCAAACGCATCCAAATAAACAAGCACCACACTCCACCTGTCATTCGTGTTTCTCTGTGTATTTCATCTAACTTCAAAGATCAATGATATTTCCTCTGCATCCATCCATACGACAATCTGTGGGAGAACAACATTCAGCCTTCTAGAAGCAGTAATTAATATCTAAGCACGTGCATGTGTGTGTGTGTGTGTGTGTGTGTGTGTGTGTTTAATTAGTTCCTGATGCCACAGAAGTGTAGCAACATTGGCTAGTCGTCAAAGGAGCTGATCTTGGCCTTGGGCATCAGGCCTATCTTATTCCACTCTCGCTTTATCTTCCTCCCGCCACACACACACACACGCATGCACAATCACAGCTGCTCCATCCTCTGTCCTATCATTACAGCCCATTTTTGGATGGTTGTCTTGGCTTCAAAACTGCAGCTGAGATCCAAGCATCTTCCTCCTATAATAGCACTCCAACAGCGTGAACTGTACAAGTGTATTCGCTTCTGAGTGCATCGTATCGAGCGTGCATGTTGGTGAGGATCTCTGTGTGTCTATTTCCGCTTACATGACTTCCAGTCGGGCGGTTTTCGAGTCGTTTCCAGCAGGTGAGATGACCCTGCAGGTGTAGTCTCCGATGTCTCCGGACCACGTCTGGCTGATGTGGAGCGAACCTTCCTTCATTGACACTCGCCCACCAGTCGACACGCTCAGCGGCTTGGTTCCTTTCTTCCATGCATATCTGAGGAGAATAAGACTCTTTATGATGACTCATAATCCACCAAAAATATCACACTCCAAAGACCTGCAGAAAATGCACTTAGCCTCCTGAGACAGAACAACATCAAATGCCATATGACGGCTTCTTTCCCTTATACGCTTCATAATGACCTAAACAAGGAGGATAGAGACAGGGTAAGCTGTCTCTAATGTAAACTATCCCTAATAAAAAATATGTTTGTGTTTTGTGGTTGCCAGAATGGTTAAATGGTTCAACTATCATAGCTAGTTAGCAGTAAATATTGTGTTTTATAGATAAACTGGCACTAAACACCATAAACTTGACATTCATGCAGGTCTTTTCAGCAGGGACAAGCTTAAAAATAAACCGTTTTGGCAGCAGCAACAGTACATGACTAATTACACTTAGAAAAAAAAAATCAATATATTTGTCATTTTCCATTAGGGTTGGTAAGATTTTTTTATTTCAGATGTTTTGTAATGAAGTCGCTTATATTCACTAGGGTTGCATTTATTTGATTAAAAATAAAGTAAAAACAGTAATATTGTGAAATATTATTACAATTTAAATTTCTATTTTAATATATTTTTAAAAGTGATTTATTCCTGTGATGCAAAGCTGAATTTTCAGCAGCCATTATTCCAGTCTTCAGTGTCACATGATCCTTATATGATCCAATATGTTGATTTGATGAATAAAAAGACCAGCATTTATTTGTAACATAATTTTTTTAACAATCTGAAAGTGCTTGACTGTAACTTTTGATCAATTTATTCAGCAATATATTGAGTAATATTTTTAACATGAATATTGCAAAAACAACTTGTGAATAATCAGTGCTCCCATTCCACGTTCCTAGGTAATTGGCACACAATAAAAATAAGTTATGCACAAATTATTCAGTCACATGACTTGTTTTTGATGTGCATCTGCTGTGGGAATTTATTCAGCATTTACATCATAGCTCATCCGCCTCAAGTCTACCTTCAAATAGCTTAGAAAAGAACTCAAGTGGCACGATTTAAGGAATCATTCATGTCTGTAGCACAAGTTGTGCGGGGTGAGCAGGATTTGAGTAATAGCAACAGCAATGCTTGACTTACTGTAGCATCACTAATTAGCAAAAACCAATGCAGACCTTGCAGAGACAATATTATTAAGTTTGAGAAATTTAAATGTCAAAATGCATCTGAGCTCAAGCTCTGACCTGACGGTGACTCTGGGGTCGTGGATTGTGGCGCAGTTCAACACAGCGGTAGTTCCCTTGATGACACGCTGATCCTCAGGGGGTGTTGAAATGAAGGTTCGACCTGATTAATAAAATGCAGTTTAGGACAAATTCACGCCACAGTTTAATCATTATCAACATCATTATTCACAGTTCTTTTAACCCTATTAGGTAATTCCCACTGACAGCTTCATTAGCAAAACAGAATGAAATTTACAAAGCATGAACGTTCGAATATTCACACTGCGTCTCAATGACCATATAGTACGGCTAAGCAAATGAACAAATTCTCTCTCACACACAACCCACTGGGTCCAATTGACTTGATTAAAGCTAATGCATGTAATATTTTCAACATTTAAGTGCTTTCTCCCAGTTAATGCACAGAGTGTGTTAGTTTAGTATCATTGAGATACTATTCTAATTTTTATTAAAATTTTGATTCAGTTTTTATTTTATATTTTCCATTTTAATTTTAGCTAGCATTTTAGTCGTTTTTCATGTTTATATAGTTTTATTCATTTTATTTCAGTTTTAGTTTTAGCTGTTTTATTACATCAACGTGCCTTGGCAACCTTTTTCAATTCAGTTAACGTTTATTTCAAGTAACAAAAAATGTTTATTTATTCATTTTTTGATGGATTTCATTTTAATTTCAATTTTAGTTAAAGCTGCAGTCCGTAAGTTTTGCCTCTCTAGCGGTTAATAAACAGAACTGCGTACATCTTGAGGAAGA